GTCACCCTGAGAGGGATGAGGGACGTGGGTGTCACCCTCAGAGGGACGTGGGTGTCACCTGAGAGGGACAAGGGACGTGGGTGTCACCCTCAGAGGGATGAGGGATGCATGTGTCACCCTGAGAGGGACGAGGGACACTCGTCATCCAGCCAGGAGGAGCTGCAGGAGCACAGGGGGTCGGGTTTGTGCTCAGGCAGCCCCGGGGGAAGAGCTCCGGGCTCCTCGTCAGCCCCTGGTGGGAGCAGGAGGTGATGGAAAAGCCACCTCAGCAGCCTTTTGTCCCGTCCAGGAAGGTGACCCTGTCCCAGAAAGGTGACCCCATCCCAGAAAGGTGACCCTCTTCCAGAAAGGTGACCCTCTTCCAGAAAGGTGACCCTCTCCAAAGAATGCAACCCTATCCCAAGTGACCCTCCCTCAGGAAGGTGACCCTTTCCCAGGAAAGTGACCCTTTCCCTGGAAGGTGACCCTCTCCCAGGAAAACAACCCTTTCCCTGGAAGGTGACCCTTCTCAGGTGACCCTCTCCCAGCAAAGTGACCCTTTCCTAAGAAGGTGACCCTCTCCCAGGAAGGTGACCCTCTCCCAGGAAGGTGACCCCCTCCCAGGAAGGTGACCCTCTCCCAGGACCCTCTCCCAGGACACACCAAGGAGTCACATCCCAAGAGCTGCCGCCCTGCCAAGGGATCCCTGGAGGATCCCTGGAGGATCCCTGGAGGATCCCTGGAGGGGGAGGCGTGGCTGTCCCTGCCAACCCTGCAATCACCAACATCTGAGGCACCGCCGGGTTGCCCAGTTCCGGCTCCAGCTCCAGGGGAAACGTGTCCTGGGGCAACTCCTGACACTGCACATCCTGTCCCGGCACATCCCGACTGGGAGAGGGACAGCCCAGGGAGGAGAGGGACAACCCAGGGAGAAGAGGGACATCCAAGGGATTAGAGGGACATCCCAGCTGGGAGAGGGACATCCAAGGGATTAGAGGGACATCCCAGGGATGAGAGGGACATCCCAGCTGGGAGAGGGACATCCAAGGGATTAGAGGGACACCCCAGGGGGGAGAGGGACATCCAAGGAATCAGAGGGACATCCCAGGGATGAGAGGGACATCCAAGGGATGAGGCTCAGGAAGGTCCTTTGGAGGAGGGTGGAGGTGGATTTTGGGGTGCCCAGAGGGGATCAGTGGGGTGGGGGAGGCCCACACCCACAGGGGCTCTGTGGGGGTCCCAAGTGGGGTCTAAGGAGCACTCTGGGGGTCCCATGGGGCACCCAAGGGGGGTCTGTGGGGCACCAAAAGGGGCACCCCACAGGACAGGGGGGTCCTAAGGGGGGTCTGTGGGGCACCAAAAGGGGCACCCCACGGGACAGGGGGGTCCCGAGGGGGGTCTGTGAGGCCGTGGCTGCTCGGCTTCTCCTTCCCTGCAAATCCACTTCACGCCAGAGGGGTTTTAATTGGGATGGGGAGGGGTTTGCTCCTGGTGATCCTGGAGAGACCTCAGAGCTTCTTGATCCCACCTGGGAGGAACTGGGAGCACCCGCGGTTGGGGTGGGTGACGCTCGTGCCCTCCAGGACCCCGCCCCCAGTCTGACCAGTCCCCATCCCAGACCCCCCCTCCCGTGCCCGGGGCGGCCTCCCCACGCCACGCGGGGGATAAATCACCTGGGATCACTCATCCCGGCTCCCGGGATCACTCATCCCGGCTCCCGGGATCACTCATCCCGGCTCCCCGGATCACTCATCCCGGCTCGTTTTCCAGCGGGATTGTGCAAGGGGGAGCTGCCCACACATCACTCACCGGTCCCGGGAAGCCCGAGCAGGTCCCAGCCCCCCCCCCCCGGGCTGGGAGTGACTCAGAGGGGCCACTCAGGGAGCCCTCGGAGGAGCCACCTCAGCGTCACCTCCCCCGGGCTCGGCCCGGGGGGAAACCGGGGCTGTCCCCGCCCGGGGAACGGCCCCAAAGAACTCCAGGGACACCCCCCACCCTCAGGGTCACCTTAGGAGGGGCTGAGGGAGATTTTGGGGGGGGTTTTGGGATGCTGGGAGAGCTGGAGGTGTCTCCCAGTACCCCAAATCTCTACAGAGCCACTGCTCACCCTCAATAGTCAAATTTAAGGGGACTGAGGGAGGTTTTGGGCAGTTTTTTGGGATGCTGGAAGAGCTGGAGGAGGTGTCTCCCAGTACCCCAAATCCCTGCAGAGCCACTGCTCACCCTCGAGGGTCACCTTAGGAGGGGCTGAGGGAGATTTTGGGGAGGTTTTTGGGATGCTGGGAGAGCTGGAGGTGTTTCCCATCACCCCAAATCCCTACAGAGCCACTGCAGGGATACTCAAATTTAAGGGGGCTGAGGGAGCTTTTGGGGAGGTTTTTGGGATGCTGGGAGAGCTTTTTGGAGCACTGAGGAGGTTTTTGGGATGCTGGGAGAGCTGGAGGTGTTTCCCATCACCCCAAATCCCTACAGAGCCACTGCAGGGATACTCAAATTTAAGGGGGCTGAGGGAGCTTTTGGGGAGGTTTTAGGGCCGCTGGGAGAGCTTTTTGGAGCACTGAGGAGCTTTTTGGGCCGCTGGGAGATCCAGAGCAGGTGTCTCCCAGCAGTGGTGGGAGATGGTTGGGATGTGACGGAGTTTTCCCGGCTGCTCTCCCAGTTTGGGACACGGGGCTGAGTCACAGCCCGTCCCCAGGGCCTGGCCTGACTCAAGCCCAGCTCCAAGCCCAACCTGGCCCCTGAAAGGGTGTCTTTGAAGGACAAATGAACCTCAAACGGGGACATTCACAGCCTGAGCTTCCCAAATATTGGAGTGACGCCTCCCGCTCCTCCGATCCACACGGAACTATCCCAGCTGTGGGATAACCAGGGAAAATCTGCCCCCCCTTGTCCTGCCCAGACGAGGAGAACCGAAGTTACTCCAGGTCCACCAGGCAGGTCCATCAAGCACCGACCACAGCCCAGCCAGGAGCTCCCCGGGCGCCCTTATCCCAGCTTTTTCCTCTGGAATAACTCGCATGGAACATGGAAAACCCTCCTGCTCCCACCCCGGCAGCAGCAGGAGCTCCTTGTCTTGCCCAACTCCCCGTCACTCATCCCGAGGGGAGCCGGGAATCATCAGATCCGGAGCGTTGGGAGCGTCGGGAGTGACGAAATTCCC